TATCAAAGAGGGTTTCTTTTGTCTATATTTGTGTATTTGATTATGCAAAAATGTCTATGAAGTTTACTTGTTATGTAGGATCATTTTTTGACACAATAAATGGTACTTGACCATAACTTTGGGTTTCATCAAGATTTTTGCTGCCAACTTAATCATGGCTTCAACTTGCTGGTTGAGACTTGCAAACACAATGAGTTAGTCCCTATGTGGTGTTTCCACATTAATAACCCTGTTATTGGCAGCATTTGCAACTACAAGAATCATCATTACCAAGAATACTTCTTTATCAATAGTAAATAATAACAATAATCACCTTCATTATATAATAAATAAATAATAATATAATCACTTTATTATATCAGATTTGCCAAAGTCTTTCAGTTGGAAGATATGTAACTGCTCAAAATATTTACATCTTTTAGAACATAAAGATGATAATTGTTCACCATATACACCAAATACTTTGAGAACTGACAGTCAAGGAGTGACAGTTCTTGTTACAGGTGAAGATCCATCACAGTTGCAGAACTTCAAGAGAGTTCCAAAACTCTTTGATAGATTTCTTCAAAAAATAGTGAAATTGGTGTTGTTGTTTACTATTACTATCATTATGGTGCTCCTTTTTCATGCACTAATAAATTTATTCATATTAATTTTTGGAGAGCAAATTAATTGATGGCAATGGCTATGAGAATCGAACTGAGTAGGTTATTTAGTAGTGAATAGCTTTGGGTATGGTTTGATTATTTTTCAAGTCAAAACTTCTTTTACTCAAGAAAAGTTATCTTTAAAGTGCATGGAATTCGAATCATTTATATAAATTAGAGGACTACTTTCTCTATTATGTCTTGTCAACTTTGTCAATACAAATTAAATAGAGAACACACAATTTTGAAAAATTGAAAAATCATACAAGAACAACTTTATCATTCTGCAATTTATATAAAAGTGGAATTAGCTTGAACACTCTTGGACTGGAAGAATATGTTAATGTCATAATGCTGGGGCAACTAGTAACAAATATTCCACATAAATAATTGGTGCAACTCCTTAGTTAATACAATGAGGTTGGTAATCTATACCTTGAATCTTGTTGAACAAAAATAACACAGGGTGTTGAACATGGAAATTATTAATTTTTGGTTACAAATTGTTAAAGATACATTATTTTAGTTTCTATATTACTTGACATTCCATCTGCACCAATTGCAAATTCAATTACCAAAACAGTTGATTTTCAATTTTTACCCTTGGTCTGCCTGGAGAAATTTCTGAGACCCTGTGATATGTAATATTGTGACAATAAAACATAAATTTGAGTAATCATACATATGGATATGATCACAATCATGTCATTACAACATTTGTAAATTTATGAAACAATAAATCTTTTTTGTAAAAATGGTTTATTGTAGTTATTTAAAATAAAATAAAAACAGCTATTAGATTAATTCCTGAATTGACTCAATCTAATTCTAAATCTAATTTTAATACAAATCAGAACTTGGTTTTAATTTTGATTATTATCTTGATTACAAATATAATCTTGATAAATAGAACTCCATGCATGTAATAAAATATTGGGAAGTTGTAAAATATCTTCATGTCTTGCATGATTATGAGAGATTCTATATAATTCTTTACCAACATTGTAAATTCTAGTGACACTTTCTGGTGAAACAAAATCTACTGCAACTTTAACACATGCAGTATAATTACAAACTTGATGTGCACAACCTGCTGGTATGAAAACCATATCACCTGGATTCTGATAAATTCTCCAACCTTTAACACCTTGTTCTTGTAATAACATAGCTCTTAATAATTCGTTTAGGTAGTATCTTTGGTCATGAATTGGATCATCGATTCTTATTCCCATTTTTTGCGAGTGTTCATGTAAAAATTTACGAACCTTTGGTAAATCATTTGCATGATAAAAATCCCAGACTGCTGCTGCTGGTTTTAATTGTTCATCTGGTAATCTATCATGAATTTCTGGTGCATGTGTCATTAAATTAACCGTATCAATTGCATTAAGATGAAGTTTTGAAGTTCCGACCCCTTTCAGCCCATCATCAGATCCATATGCACAATACATCTTGGGGCCTAAATCTGAACTGTTCATTGTAAATCAAGAAATTATTATTGAAAATTCCGACCAAAGATCAAACATTAATATATCATTTCTATTATTATCATATCAATATCATTAATAATACTAATTACTATGGTACTTACATGATGTATTCTGCAGGTAATTGATTGACCAAATTCATACTACCTCCATATGTTGAATATTGTGCAAATGGCATGACAGACATAAAATCTTTAAAATGATCAGGAAACTTTTTAGCAAAATCTCGATTTGATGGCCAGTCCTTAAAATTTAAAAAAGAAATCAAAATATATAATATTATTTAAAGCATCATCATTATTATTATAGATATAAATATACCTTTAATTTCAAGTAAGTTATATTATTTTGATGTTTAGGTCTTCTTTCAAGATTTACAAATCCATCAAAAAATGCCTTAACAGTTGTATGATAGACTTTTTCGGTCTTGCAATCAATAGTATCGCATGGAATATTACCAAATCGTCTACTAAGGTAAACTGGATTCCAAAGCTGATCTTCATATTTCAAGTTCCTAATCACAAATGGATAACCTTTTTTCCAAAATTCGCGAAATTGTTCAAGTGTCATTTCTCCATTATCCCATTCAAGTTGATCATGACTCTCATGTGAATTGTCATAAATTTCTGAATCAATAGCCATTGGTTCAATCAAATAATCCTTATTATTATTAATGGGGCAGTTTATAGTAGGCATAATAGATAAATTTTCCGTATTTTTTTTTTCAATTATAGAGTTGTCATTAGATTTATCTAAGGATTGTTGATCTGGTTCAGACTTAATAAAAGCAGGAGAAGTTACAGTCGGTTCAAATGATTCTATAGCAGTTGTTGGTTTGGTTGACTCCATAGATTTTTTTGATTCAACCAATTCTGTGGATTTTGTTGGCCTGATTGGCTTTATAGGTTTTTTTAATATTACCAATTTCGTTGGTTTTGTTGATTCAATCAACTCTGTAGCAGTTATATTATCTTCATTGATTATTGGATCATCTTTAAGTATTTTGCATGTTTCCATGTAAAATTTTTCAATTTCTGAACGTTGATAGAAACAAACGCCCAACATATGTTTTTTTTCATGTCTACGTCTGAAAGAACATTTACCAAGTGTCAAAAATGTCTCTGGTGACAAATCATCCCACTCATCATAACATGTAATACACATTTCTCTACCGCATACAATGCATATCCAAAACCCACTAAAAATTATGTGCTGACAAATATCACATAATTGTCTACTGTTTGTTTCAGGGATTTTTCGACATAGAGCTTTGTCTATATGAGAAAGTTCATTTTGTAAAATTGTTCTAAAAGTAGGTGCTATTAAGTCTAATTTAATATTTCGAAGAATATATTAACTTTTTTTTTTGAAAATTATAAATACAATTATTATTTAAATCATGATAGTAGTAATACCTAATATGTAATGCTTATCCTCTTGACTTAATGGGATATCCCTTGATTCTAGCATTGGTGCAGGATTCTGATCTGAAATAAAATTTGAACCTTCTATTATTTCATATGTTACAGGATCAATATCAAAATACCTAAAATTTTTAAATCTGCATCTATCTGATTTCTTGTTTACACCTAAACAGAAAATAATAAACAAGATTTTTTTATTAAATGGATCATAGATGAATATCTATAAATTTATTATGTTCTTACATGCTTGACATCGATTAAATTGTAAAAATTTTTTATTGTTGCAAGAATTTTCTTGAACAAGTATATTTTCTCCGGTTTTATCAGTAGTTATAATCTTTCCTATTGTTGAAGTAGAAGATGTAATCTCTTTTGGA